GCTGGCTGGCATGTGGTGCTGGGGGATCGAACCGCGGTCCCTGTGCTTTAGCCAAGCTTGTTCCAAGTAGGTGCTTTAGACCACTGAGCCATCTCTCCAGCCCCTGTATATTTCTTTAGGTTAAATGGTCTGTCAGCTTTGTTTTTATTTTTTGAGGCTGGGTCTATGTAGTTCAGGCTGATCTTGAACTTGTTATGTAGCCCTGTGTGGCCTTGAACTCCTGGTGATCCTCCTGCCTCAGCCTCCCTGAGTGCTGGGATTACAGGCATGTACTATCATGCCTGGTTATCTGTCAGCTTTAATACATTAACAAGCTCTTTTTATTGTGTTCACGTTAGAATTGTTAAAGCTCTTTAAAACTTTATCTTTGAATGTGTATTCCCATTTAAAATTTCTATTCAATGATTTACCGAATTTTCTTAAGATTTACAAACTACCTATATATCTTAACATTACTACCTCACTGAGGTCCAAATATCTTTCATTATTCATTATAGCAATTCTGAGATCTATATATAACTTATGGGAATAAAAGTAATTCAAAGCTAATTAAGTTTGTCATTCTAAAGCACAATGCTCAGTATCTTAAATTTTTTTCCTCAAAAGAGTTTTGAATATTTATGGCAACACAGATGTTTGTTTTGGCAATATCAGAGATTGAACACTGGGCCTCATGCATGGTGGCCTAGCATTCTACCACTGAGCTATACTGTCATCCCTTTTTGTGTGCAGCAGGCTCAGCCCACCCTAGGGGGGGTTGCCATGGCATGTGGTGCCAGGGATTGAACCAGGGTGTTTGCCTAAGCAGGTACTCCAACCACTGAGCTATCTCGCTGGCTGTCAGCCTTTGTTTTTTGATAAATTGCCCAGATTGGCTTTAATCTTGTAATCCTCTGAGTAGCTGCAATTAACGATGTACAGTACCATAACTCACTCCTTGGCAAATAAATCAATTTGCTTTTTTTTTTTTTTCCTGTATTTTAGGGAAGGGTCTACAGGGTGTTCAGGGTCTCACTACTAGAGATTCTCCTGTTTACTGCCTCCCAAGTGCTGGGATTACAGATGCCTGCCACCACGCCCAGAGTCATTAGCTGTCTCAGTGCACTGTGGGGGTGAAGCTGGCACTGCAGGCCCAGGGAACAAAACTCATCCCCTGCACCTGCTTGTAGGCACTTTTATCTGCTGAGCTATTTGGCCGGTCCTCAATTTGCTTTCTGAAGCTGCATAGGATAGGAAACATAGGATAGAAAACATTTTAAAATGTTATGTCTTTTACCCAATCACTTAGTTGAGATAGGATCACCACAAGTTCAAAGACAGCCTGCATTACAAAGACCCTGCTGGACTTGAACTCACTATATAGCCAAAGCTTCTCTCAAACTCAGCAATCTTTCTGCCTTCTAAGTGCTATCATTACAGGCATGCACCACCACACTCAGCTGAAGTCTATTTAGAGTGGCAAATTCCAATCCATACTTGCGTTAGCACAAGGTTTCCCTTATGCAGAAGTTACTGTAGCATAAACCCAAGCAGATGAAGTAACTTATATTGGCTTTAAAGATTTCATTATATTCTGACACATTATGCATTAATGACTGTGACTGTAATTAAGTATGAAGCTTTATTAATCAGATGAAATGACTTGTGTTAAGTTTCTAATTTAGCGGCTTGGGATATAGCTCAGCAGCATAAGCACCTACCTGGCAAGTGCAAGGTTCTGAATCCGATCCCCAGTACTGTGGGGGAAAATAACTTCCCAATTTAGCTGGTCTTGGTGATAGATTCCTGTAATCCTAGCATTTGGGAAGCAGAGGCAGGGGAATTGCTGAGTTTTAGGCCAGCTTTGGCTACATAGTAGGTTCAAGGCAACCCTGAATTATATAGATCCTATCTCAAAACAAAAGCACTACCACAAAAACCAAAAAATAAATGAAATAGAAATTCAATTTTAGGTATTTCTGTCACCAATAAAGGCAAAATAAAAATGAAAGAATCATTAATTAACATCAGGCCAAAATTAATTTGATTAGGCAAGGAAAACATTTTATTTAAGCATTCTTGTAATTAAAGGTAAATAATTTTTGCCTAGTCACATTAGATTTTTAAGTTATCATGGCTTTTCGAAAGAATCAAATTATAAACATTCAAATTTCCATAGTGTAGCACAATTACCCCAATTTTAAGTGGTTCCTCTATTACTGTCAAAATAGGAGTTTCTAATTACTATTTTTTTGGTACCAGGAATCAAACTGGTGACCTTGCTCGTGTGGGGCAGGTGCTGTGCTGCTGAGCTATGTATCCCTGGCCTTCAAATTATTTTAAAAGTTAGGAAGGACAGCATCCAACTTATTAAGATTTAGGTTTAGTGCTTAGGTAAGAATTTCTCATACAAGTATATGATAAAAAGATTCAACATATTACAGAAGCAATCCAGCAAAATGGAACAATACCAAGCATTATCTTTTATTTTTGGATGTGAACACTTCTAATATGGGAGTCAAAGTCTTTATTTTTCTTACCTTTCCTGTCACAGTAGCTTAGTGGTATGCAAATTACACTGAAGATACAGCTAGGTCAGGGGTAAGACACTAAAAAAGCAATTAGTGCTCAATGGTCTAGGCTTTGAATAGTTTTAGTCAGGCACAGAGTTAATGCTTTGGTTTTCTTCAATCAGACTACAGGTGCCTACTCCCCGTTTTCTCCCATCTTTTTGAGACAGTTTTGCTATACGGTTCAGGCTGGCCTCAAACTCCCAGCAATCCTCCTGCCTCAGTCTCTGCAATGCTGGGATTATAAGCGTACACCACCACACCTGGTCCTACTCTTATATGCAAACATTTATTGCCTTGCAAACATTTATTGCCTTTAGGGTGGAAAGGAAGACAGCAATTGGGTGAGAAAAAAAGGGTAGTTCTCCATTTTTGTACTAGTGATAAACAGCCTTTTTTTTGGGGTACAAGAATTGAACTCAGGACGTCTGGCTTGGCAGGCAGGCACTTACGCCTCTGAGCTATTTCCCCAGCCCACAAATAGTCTTTTAAAGATTTTCACTATCTGTAGTGGGGAAATATGTCCAGGTTCAGAGGCTTCCTCCTAAAATGCTTATTCTAGATTCTTTTTAAAATGAAATATTAATAAGTTTGGGACATAAATACGTTGCAAAAGCGAAAAAGAGCTAGCATGTGAATTTCATTAGGTAAAGATTCCTTTGTTAAAAAAGCAGATTTGTAGAATGGCAATGAAGGGAAAAGAAAAGGCAGACAGTAGCAAAAAGGATCTGATTACTACTTTTCACTCAGCCTTCACCCAGGCTTTAGTAATAGGGCTTCCAGAGAGGATGCTAAGATATTCTTAGTAGCAGCATTCAAGAAAGCAGTGGTGTGGCCTCTGGGCCAGTTTGCTAGACACACTGGTCCTATGTTGTCACTGGTGTGACACTGGAGGTGACTGAGCAAACTGCCTATAATAGTAGTAAGGAAATATTCAGAAAAAATTTCTGGAAGTCTCATATTGAAAAGATCAACAGAACATTTGTTGAAGTAGGGGACAGTTGGTCACAATGATCTGCTACAAACTCTAATATTTAAATTAGACTAACGTAAATGTGATTCCTTTGAGCCTTGACTTTTTATTAGATATCTGGATAGGTTTCTACATTGAAACAATTTCAGTCATCTCACTCTTACTTTTTCAGTTCTTGGTGGTTTACAGCTTGGTCCAAATTTGTGAAAGGCTGATAGGTTAAAAGGCAAAAAAAATAACTAAAACAAGTTTTATATATCAATCAAGAATGGCTTAATATTATTAATTTTCTTCTTTGAACATCTTACCTAAGTGCTTTACTAAAGATACTAGCTCAGGATTTCCACCACATGCCTCAATTTGTTTATAGGCTTCAGATTCAAGCTCTCTAAGAGTATTTCGAGTATATTCAAAAGAACCTACATCCTCAAGATACTGGACACAGTATTTTTTAATATCTATGTTTTCTGTTCTCTGGTGCAAGATGTTCTGCACCTGGGTGCTTTCAGGTTTTGACCGAATAGCATGAATAGTAGGGAATGAGAACTTTCCTTCTGTCAGATCTTCACAAAAACTTTTGTTTTCACTGTATTCTTTGGAGTGGAGGTTGGCATAATCATCTCTAATTTGGAAAAAGAGTCCAAGTGTGTTAAGCAGTGGTTTTAAATCTTCTTTGTAGTCAGAGAACAACTGCATGAGACCTACTGCTAATCCAAATAGTCCTCCTGTCTTCTGCAGCACCATGGCTTTATATTCTTCTTCCGTGGGACAAATGTAATTATCCCTCCAGTAAATATCTAGGCCTTGTCCCTGGTGGAGTTCCAAAAGCTGGCAGGTAAAAAGCTTCACTGCCTCTGGGTGATCAAGGGTTAAGACTTTCTGTAAGCCAAGGAAATATACGTAATTGGCAGAATTGATGACAGATGGAATTCCATAGATGCTGTGTGCTACAGGAAAGCCACGTCGGAGTTTTGAATTGTCCTCAATATCATCAATGAGTAAACTGGCATTATGCAACATTTCTGTCACTTCAATGATTATCTTAAAAAAAGAAAAAGAATAGAAAATTTTACTTGAACTATTCAAACAGTTTATATTTAATGATATTAAGATATTCTGAAAATCTTAGGTGTCTTAAATCATTACAAGTATCAAATAATATATTGCATGAGAATTATATTAAGAGCTAAGAGCATTTTTATGTGACATATATTGATTTGGGTGGGTTAATATAAGAATTGCCAGCTGGGCATGGTGGTCCATGCCTGTAACCTGAGGCCTCTGGGAAGCTGAGGTAGGATGATCACCTGTATGCATTTAGACTGGTCAACTTAGTAAGACTCTAAAAGTAAAAAATAAAAAGTGGCTGGGGATATATCACAGTGTGAAAGCCCTGGTTCAATTCCAGTACTGGGGAAAAACACAAATACCTGTAGTTTGTCTTCTGGAACTTTTAGCCAATGATTAAATGCTTGTGAAAGTTTTGTTCTCACTTGCTTACCTGCAATCAAAAAGTAAAAACTGTCAAAGAAATACTTCTTTTAATTGTAATTAGCATATTTAATGCATTTTGTAATCCTAGCACTCTGGAAGGCTAGGATTGGAAGATAAGATGACAAGTTCAACTTAGCGAGATTTAGCTGCAATATAAAAAATGAAGTATTGCAGATGTGGTTTAGTGAAAAAGCTCTAGATTCAATCCCTGTGGTATATATGGGTGTGTGTGTGTGTGTGTGTGTGTGTGTACATACATTCAGAAATTTCAGAAATGATCAGACTTGAGAAATCCAGCCCTATCAATCCCTTACCCACTGGAGAGATTACCTTCTATTGCCCACATCCAAATCCCAACCTCGGGCCGGGCAGATGACTCAGTAGAATAAGCGCTTGCCTGGCAAGCACAAGGGCCTAAGTTAAAACCTTGGTTCTGGGGCCAGGGAGATGGCTCAGTAGGATAAGTGCTTGACTTGCAAATGCAAGGATCTGAGTTCAATCCCCGCTTCCGCCAAAGAAAAAACAAAACAAAACCCTGCCAAAAAACAAAACAAGTTCAAACCTCACTGAAATTCAGATCCCAGAGCCAGGCATGGTAAAACAAGCCTGAAATCCCAGCTATTCAGTAGACTGGGCTAGGAGGATCTTATAAGTTGGAGGCCAGCCTGGACTATTTATTTATTTATTTATTTACTTTATTTTTAGGGAAGGGTCTATAGGATGTTCAGGATCTTATACTAGATCGGACTCGTAGTGATATGCTTGTTTACAGCCTCCCAAGAGCTAGGATTACAAGTGCATGCCACCACGCCCAGTCTCAGGCAGCCCTGGGGGGCGGGGCCAGTACTGCAGGCCCAGGGATCGAACCCTAGGTCTCTGTACCTGTTTGCAGGAGCTTTAATCTGCTGAGCTATTTGGCCATCGCTTTTTTTTTTTTTTTTTTTGGTGGTACCAGGGCTTGAACTCAGGACCCTGTACTTGTCAGGCAAGTGAAAAATTTAGAGACCTTGTCTCAAAATAAAATGGCTAGAGATGCTTAGTTTTCTTAAAATTTATGTATTTGGTTCAGGGTTTCACTATACAGCTCAGACTTGTAGTGATCCTCCTATTTTCAGCCTCCTCAGTGTCACCATGCCCAGATTCAGTGGCCACCTCAGGGTGCCTGGGGGTGGGGCTGGTGCGGCACACAGTACCAGGTATCAAAACTGGGTCCTTGTGCTTGTCTAAGCAGGTGCTTAGTCCACTGAGCTATCTCGCTGGCCCAAAAAGTACTATTTTTTTTTTTTCTTTGTGGTACCAGTGATCGAACTAGGGATCTTACATTTGCCAGGCATTCACTTAAGCCACTGAGCTACCTCCCTGGTTGAAGCTTAGTTTTTAACATGCCTGCCCAGCGTACATAAATCCTACAGTTCAATCATTAATACCGCCAAAACAAAGGATCTCAAATCTCCCATCATATCCTACAACACTCCCCTTCTTTTTCTCTCCTTCCCTTTGTTTTTTTGAGATAAGGTCTCACTATGTAGGTTAGGCTGGCCTTAAACTCACCATGCAGCCTAGGCAGGGCTTGAATGTGCAGCAATTATTCTGCCTCAGCCTTGGAGTACTGGGACTGTGGGTGTTGCTACCAAACTTGGCCGGTATACAACCTTTTAAAATCTGTACAAGCAAGACAGATTCTAAAGCACTTCAGTGGGCTTTAATTAACATAACTTTCAACTTCAAAATGGACTAGGCATTTGTAGGAAAAAAAGAAAAAAAAATATATATATACATACATATATATATATGTGTATGTATATATATATATATATATATATATATATATATACATATATATTTTTTTTTGGCAGAACCAGGGATTGAACTCAGGCCCTTGCACTTGCCAGGGAAGCACTTATTCCACTGAGCCATCTCCCCGGCCCCTCCTATTTTTTTTTTTTAATGAAAAGTCCATTTATTTAGAGACAACTAATTAGCACTTTCTATTTTTGGTTTTGTATTTTAGAGACAGGGTTTTGGTATGTAGCCCAGGCTGGCCTGGCCACTTTCTTCAGGCTCCTGAGAAATGGAATTATAGGTGTGAACCAACATGCTTGGCTTTTCCCTGTTTTTTTGAGGGTCTCACTATGTAGCTAAGGCTGGCCTTGAAATTACCAAGTAGCCCAGCCTGGTCTCCAATCTGTGATCTTTCTGTCTTAGCTTTCCAAGTGTTAGGATTATAAGCATGCAACACCATGCTCCACTAAAAAAATAAATTCTGAGTAGGAAATTACAGAGAATTAATATGGAGTGACATTATTAATTTATCTTAATGTTATATAGAAAATAGCAAAGTTGCCAGGCACAGTGGTATATGCTTATAGTCCCATTTACCAGGGAAGCTGAGTTAGGAGGAATACAAGTTCACGGTCAGCTTAAGTAAATTAGTGAGACTGTCTCAGGATAAAAAATAAAAAAGCAGGCCAGGGAGATAGTGCAGTAGAATAAGTGCTTGCCTGGCAAGTGCAGGGCTCTGAGTTCAATCCCCAATATTGCAAAAATAAATAAATAAATAAATAAATAAATAAATAAAATAGCACTGAGGATATGAGGATATAGTCCAGTGGATAGTGTTCTGGGTTTACTTCTTAATTCAACACCCTGCAAACAAATTCATTTAATAATCAGGATGGTTTCCTAAGTGTAGTGAAGAGCTAACACTCTTGGCATGTTTTTTTTTTTTTTTGAGTGTCGTATTGTTACTTCACCCAGGATGGCCTTAAACTCTTGGATCAAGTGATTATTCTGCTTTAGCCTCTCAAGTACTTGAGAGTGTAGGCATGCACCACATTGATAACCATATTTATTTTCTCCAACTTCATGAAGAATATATATATTATTCTTGAGATATACTTACAAAGAGAGGTATACACATTAGAATGGAAATAAAAATGTGTGTCTGGTCATGAAGATGATTGTATCGTAATAGCATAATTACATTATGAGCTACCTTATTAAAAGTGGTCTAAGAATTTACCAACTTTAAGAGAAAGCATGTCACTTTTCAAGTAATTAGTTTATAAATAAATTAGTGTAAGAATTCACTTTTATCATTTTCATGAATCTTTATTTGTTATCATTTTCTAGGTAAAGGTGTTTATTTTTCTTTCTTTCTTTCTTTCTTTCTTTCTTTTTTCTTTTTTTTTTTTGGCGGAACTAGGGATTGAACTCAGGCCCTTATGCCTGCCAGGCAAGTGCTTATTCTACTGAGCTATCTCTCCGACCCCCTCTTTTTTTGTGACATGGTCTTGATATGTAGTCCAGGCTGGCTTTGAACTCTTAATCTTCCTGTTCAGCTTCCTGAGTTCTGGGATAATAGCATATCCGTATTTTCTTAAGGTATGTGCCATTTAAGTGAGAACAATATAAATATATGTCTCACTGAGCACTTTAAATAGAAAATTTGGTAAATCTATGCTTTCATGTTTGCTAATATTTGAACAACCACTTCTGTCTGAAAACTATTCTATGTGGATGGCTATAACTGAATAGTTACCTGGTAACTGAAGTAAGTACCTGTAGGGTTCTAGAAGAATTCTTTGGACATTTTCTTGACTCTTCTCCATTGTTTTCAAATTTGATCTGTCACAATAAGAAACATAAAAGTGATTTCAAGAACCAAATTACTGTGTCTTTTAAGTAATACACTGCTAAATATGTCTCAAAGTGTTTTGGGGAAGACAGGCTTTTAGTAATGGTTTATTTTTTCAGTTTGGTTTTAAAAATTTTAACATGTAGAAAACTTTGAAAGCATTATGTTAAGCAAAAGAAGTCAATTACAAAAGAGCACGTAGCATATGATTCTTTTTTTTTTTTTTTGGTGGAACTGGGGATTGAACTCAGGCCCTTGCACTTGCCAGGGAAACGCTTATTCCACTGAGCCATCACCCCGGCCCCCATATGATTCCATTTAAATGGATGTTCAGAATAGTCCAATCCACACAGAAAGTTGATTAGTGATTACAATCCATACAGAAAATATGAGGTGGGGAAATAGTAACAAGGTTTCTTTTGGGGGGGGGAATGTAAATGTTATATAATTAGATTATAGTGAATATACTAAAATCACTTAATCATGTACATCTCTTGTTTTGAGATGGTTTCTTACTGTGTTGCCCAGGCTGATTTCCAATTCATGTTCTCAAGTGATCTTACTTCTTCAGCCTCCCTGTAGGTGGAAATATAGGTGTGTACCACCCCCTATGGCCTGAGCTGTTTTTTTCTTTTTTTGAGCTAGGGTCTTGCTGCACTGTCCAATTTGCAAAAAAAGACAAATCTTTATATATGTGATTACACTGGTCAGTGTTCGTCTGCTTTTTGTCTTGAATTTAAGGCCTTTGCATTGAGGTAACCTTTGCACAAGTTCTTACAGGTTTGTTACTTCTCAACTTCAAATACTTCTATGCCATCCCCAGTACATTTTTGAGACAGGGTCTCATTAAGTAGCCCAGACTAATGTGGAATTTACAATCCTTCTGCTTCAGTCTTCCAAGAGCTGGGATTACAAATGTGTATCACAACGCTAGATTGCTAGTGAAACTTTCTGAAATAATCCAAATAATTTATTATAGTTTAATTATTAAACTATTACTATAGTTTAATAAACCTTTTATCTGGTTACCTTGTTCTTACAGGTCAAAGAAAAAATGTAATACAGGAACATAAAGGTTAGGTCAGATCAGTGTGGAACATCATTAAAAACAGTACAAGCAAGTACTTACACACATATCTATATTTACATAATTCTCTAACAGGTCTCATCCCAACTCACCTAACTTCAGATTACAAACTAGTTTTTTTGAGACTGTAAACATTTCATTTACTGAGAACTTCTGTTTTTCTTCTTTCCTTTCCTTTCCTTTCCTTTCCTTTCCTTTCCTTTCCTTTCCTTTCTTTTCTTTTCTGTCTGTTTTAGATAAGGTTTTCCTATGCAGTTTTCAGGCTGGCCCTGAACTTACTGTGTAGCCTAGTCTGGCCTCAAACTGGAAACACTCTTGTACCTTAGCCTTCAGAGTGCTGGGATTACAGGCATGTGCCAGCACACCCAGCTGCCCTCCATTCAACACTTCTTTTTTTGTTTTTGTTTTTCAGATGAGGTCTCCCTGTGTAGTTTAGTCTGGGACTTGCATTAAATGGCTGTGGCTGGCTTGGCATATTGATGATCCTCCAGGCTCAGCCACCTGAATGGTGGGATTACAGGCATGTGCTACAATCCCCAGCTCAGTAATTATTTTTAACCTCTGGATCCTTAACAGGTAAACTCTTAAAAGAATGAGCCAACCTTTGTTTAAATTCTTAAAGCCTTGTCTGATGTTATTTCCCAACTTAATAGTTCTGAATTAAAAATATTATTGGGCCAGGGAGATGGCTCAGTGGAATAAGCACTTCCCTGGCAAGTGCAAGGGCCTCAGTTCAATCCCCAAGGGAAAAAAAAAAAAAAAAAAAAAAAAATTCCTTTGCTTATTCACAGTTTAATACTTAAAAAATAAGCATTTTTTTTTCCCCTAGAGAATGTTTACAACTATTTGAAATTATTCATAGTGGTGGAAAGATATAGGAACCTTAATGTTTTTAGATACTGAAAATCAATCTGTCTTGTGTTTTGTTAAGTCTATTTGGGTGTGGTGGTGTACTGCTATAATGCCAGTACTCCGGAGGCTGAGGCATGAATATTGGTCTGAGTTTCAGGCCAGCCTGGGCTAGACAGTGAATCCAAGACATGAAAACAAAGCAAGACCCTGTCACTCACAAACAGTCTAAGGGATTCCACACACAGACCTGCCTTCCTGTGTCTTTTGTACTCCCATTTATCTAAGCTGGAAGCTTCAGTTTTCAAATACTATACTTAGACTAAAGAGACAATGGTGTGCATTATGTGAGCTCTACTAATTGACTTTTAGGGTAAATAAATACAGAATGCCTTAGTGAGAGTGCCATTCTTTCACTTTCAAAACTGAAAAACTGCTGGAAATGTGTTAGAAGGGTCAGTGATTAATACAGTTCATTCTTCTCCCTGTTGAAATTACCACTGTAGCGGCCTCCTCCTTGCAACCCTCTTACCTACTGTTTCATCTTTTGGCCAGTGATTTTTGCACAATTCAAGACTGATTGTTTTTCTTCCAGTTGAGAACCGTTCCAAACCATCCTATTGCTCAAATGGCCAGAATAAAACTCCTCAATGAAGCATGTAAGGTTCCCCACACTCCTTGTCTCGCCAGTCTCAAATCTTCAAACTGTGAAAGCTCTCTCCTGACAGAAATTTCCAACATGCCACCACTCTTTCCGTCAGTAATATTCTTTCTTGGATTAATTCCAGCTCGCTCCTCACTTTCTCCTATCGCCTCTAGCACTACCTCGGCTACACTCACTTGTGTCTGTCTGCTTTATTTTAACCTCTGTCTCGCTGACAGGTTGAGGTGCACAACTCAAAAGAATGAATGAAAGTGCCTTCTGACGTCCCAAAGAATGAAATCGGGGCATAACTTGCATGTAAGAAATGAAAATGTCATGCAACGTAATTTTTTAAAGGAAAGGGCTTCGTTTCAAAATTGCTAAACAGAGATAAACGACAAGCGCAGCTATGAAGCGCACAGCGAAGATGCTCTAGCTCAAGACCCCTAGCGACACAGACACAGCGGGGCTTTAAATAACTCTAGAGGCAGACAATGATAAACCGGGTGGGCAGAGTTTTATAATGTTACAGCGCCGCCGCGAGGCTCCTTCCGCCCTTTGGACAACCCCCTTCTCCGAGTCCCCGTGCTAGCCGAAGTTCCACAGAGCCAGGTCAGCATCCGGGTCCTTTGACTCCTTCTCCCCCCCCCATCGGCCCCGCCCCTCCCCCTTCCCATCCGGGTTCCCCCCGCTGATACCGCCGCTCCTGCCGCCGCTCACGGTTCCACAGTGATCTCACGACTTTCCAATGCCAGTCCTCAGTAAAGTATCCAACATCAGCTTCCCTCTTTGTAGTTCAGATCAAGGCTTCTTCCAACGCCTACATGAATCCCTCCTCCTACTTCACCACAGAACTCTCCGCCCTCCTCAGCTACTAGCAACTCCGCATTACTCGGTGCAAGAAAATGCGCCATCCCAGTCACACTGCGCAGGCGTTATTGCCGCCTCCCCGTTGGCTTATGGTCCCGACCCCTCCCTTTCTCCGCTCCCTTTTTAGGCAGGCGCGGGGCATTGGGGTTCTTGCAGTTCTCTCGAGCCAGGGTTTCCGTATTGGTTCTAGGGGATTGTACCACATTTCCCAGAAAGCTTCGCGGAGTAACTTTCTGTTTCCATAGAACTGGTGGGAAAATGGCGTCGTTGTTTGTATCCCGGGGGCCAATAGGAACAAGGCATAGGCTGGCTCTAGCAAACTCTAGCCAATCCGAGGTCGTCTAAGAGGCCATCCGGGAACGAGGTAGGGGAGGGGAAAAGAAGATAGGGGAGGGGAGAAGAGGGGAAGGGGGACCCGGGAGGGGGAAGCGATGTTTGCCCGTCAGTCGAGTCCGGAGTGAGGAGCCTGGGCGCCAGAGCGGAGAGGACTCTCGATCCTCAGCTTGTTGCCGCCACGGGCACCGCCTGGACCTTCGCCCAGAGGCAGCAGCAGAGGGTCTGTCGCCGCCGTCCTCTGGAGGGCAGCGCGACCGGGGGCCCGGATCCCCAGCTCGGGAGGGATTTTTCGTCGTCCCCCTCCCCCCAGCGAGGGAGCCCGAGCGGCCGCCAAACAAAGGTACCAGTCGCCGCCGCGGGAGGAGGAGGAGCCCGAGCTTCAGCCTCGGCCGCCGCTGGACCCGTCGGCCTTCTTTCCCATCTCTCTCGGGCCTGCTGGTGTGTGTGGGAGGAGGAACGGAGACTCTGGACGGGCCGGGCTTGGACCTGGTCGCCGCGGAAGGTAGGGCATTTTCCGGGACTGGCGCGGTCTCCTCGGGGCGTCCCCGGCCCGGCCGGGGAGCAGGGCAGATGGCCGCGGCTCTGTGACTGGCGCTTGGATCTGGGATTGAGGCCTCCCGGGACGCACTTCTCGGTGCCGAGCCCGAATCGGCCGCGCACTAGGCGCGCAGGCACGGGGTGGGTGGGGGCCGGCTGCCTCTCGGGCCCGGCTCCCACTTGTCGGCCTCCGCTCGGGGTGGGCACGGGCAGAGGTGCTGAAGGCCATCCGGTTGCCGAGGCCCCGCCAGTCTCCAACGACTCGGCGCTGTGCGGCCCGTGGTGGCGGACGGTGGCATTTGTCGTCTAGGCCTGCGCCGGACTCCGGCTTGTTGTGGAGTTTGTTCTGACAGAAATGGCGTCATCGTCAGAGACTGGAAACTCCGTCCAGTCGCGACAATGGGGACGGGACGCTGCAGGCCGTGTGGGTGGTGGGTGCGCGGTGATGGCGCGGCCAAGAGGACCCAATTTTGCTGCGGGCGACTGACACCCCGCACTGAGCTTTCTTCGGTGCCTCCGCCGCCCCTTATAGTGCAGGTGGTACTCACGGGGTGTCTTTGTTTCTCCTCCAGGTGCAGGTGAATCCGGTGTTTTCGAGGGAATCGCGACCTCAGACTCACCATGAAGGTAGGATTGCCTACAGAAAGGAATCTCGAGGGTTAGGGGTTTCAGGAAGTAGGGACATTGGCCGTCATTATGGGGCCTCCAAGTTTGCAAAGGAAGGTGTGTGTGGTGGCTTGGTGCTCAGTCTTTCCCTGGAAACGGGGGCCAGCTGGCGTGAATATTCAGGGCTTTGCTGTGGAGTTGCAGTCAGTTTTAAGAAATCTCGTGGAAAGTGATTCTCAAGTGTTTCAGAATGTAAAACTAAACAGGTCTAGAAACCTGATTCTCGAAACTGAGCTGTATTGTGGTTCTATCGGTTACACTGATGAAAAGAAAAATCATTTTATTTTGTGAATCATATCTTTTTCATAGAAAAAGTGTTATTTGAGAGATTTTTTTAAAAAGAGATTTTGGTGATTTTTCACACATTTCAGAAATAGCATTTCCTTTATTTCCCAAGATCTAGGATCTGGGATTATATGATTTATTTTCCTTTATTGATTTACAAAATGAAATTGGCTTTTTTTTTTTTTGCTTTTTTAATCTTTTTGATATGGTTTCACTCTGCAGTGCAGGCTGGCCTTGAACTCACTTTGTATCCCAGGCTTGCCTTCAACTCACAGTGAACCTCCTGCCTCAGCCTTCCACATGCTGGCATCACAACCAGAAACAACAGGGCAAGGTTGCTCAGTTTTTTGGGGGAGTGCAGATGACCAAGTTCTTTTTAGCAGATAAGTTAACTAAATGGAGGATAGTGTTCAAAAAGTAGTTTGCTTAACTGGTAGGAAGAAATGATACAGCAATAAAAGCTTGGATTGTTTTTCCACTTTAGGCAATATGTAAATTTTGTTTTAAAAACATCTTTTTAGAATGAAAAGCCTTGGATATCAGTAATATCTGGATTTAATTGGTGGAATAGAGAACTTAGCAGATTTTCATCCATTACAAATTGAGTGCTTCTAAGGGGTATGGTGTGTTTATAATTACAGAAACAGGATAGGTGTATGTTAGAATGCAAATGCTCTATACTTTGGACAGTTTCTTTGAAATGTGTTTTTAAGCAAAGACATTTTGCTTCATAATGAAGAGTGCTTTTATAGTACTTTAGACTAGAATTTATAATATATGGAAAATAAAAGCTTTTGGCTGCTTAAATATTTACTAAATATTGTAGCCTGATGTTTTAAATATTTTCTTTTTGAGTGTGGGCATATTATATTGCTAACAATAGTTTATCTACTGAATTCCTGTCTTAATGTTTATGTGCTTGAAAACAACTGGTGATGCTACAGAAATGAATCCCTTTTGTTAGTCATAAATGCTAGCTAGCTATGACTCCTGTGATCTATGTAAAGCAGTGAGATGTGTGTTTATTAGGAAAGCTCTTACCTATTTGGTGTTAGATGAGCTTTAAGTGAAGTTTTAGTTAAGTAATACATAATAAATTTAGAAACTGAATTAACATTGGAAGTATTATAACCTGTCACAGTTCCTGTTGTAATATTTGATACATCTTAGGTGCCTGGAAATGTTTGGCTAAAAGGGACATGTAGTTAGTTCAAGGTGTTTTAGAATAAGATTTTCTTTATTTTTTTAAAACTTATGTTTGAAAAATGAAAATATATGGGAAACTTTAGTCTTAAAAGTTTCATGGCATTAGGCCAATGCAAATTTTGGGGGGAATCATTTTAGAGCTACTAATTTTAAGCACTCAGCATTTATATTCTTTTTTGAAAAAGAAAGGTACTTGTAATTAGTCATGTTTACAGGAAAAACGTAATTAAAACAAATTCCAATTTTGTAAAGAGCTTCATTTACAGTGTAGTGTGTCTTTACTAAAAATTAGTAGCTTGATTTCTTTTATAGTAAAGGTAATAAAGGGTAACCTTTTTTCTTTTCTTAAGCAAAAATAACAACTTAAAATGTATTTAACATTGATTCTGTTGAGTTTAAATTTTTTTTTCTTTTTTGAGACAGGTTTCACTTGCCTTGTAGTTTAGGCTGGTCTTGAGCTCAGGGTGTAGCAGCCCAAGGTGGCCTTGAGCCAGGGTTGTCCTCCTGCCATGGCCTCCCAAATGCTAGGATTACACAGTCATGTGCAACCATACCTGGCTTAAGTTTAAATTGTGTATGTTTAAATTGTGTATGTTCTGTTTTTGTAGTACAGTAATTGAGCTGTAAAAGGGTTTATGGCATTTATTAGATCTTACCAAATTTCTTTGAAGCAAATTAAGTTTGATTTGGCTGTCCTGTTAGCAAGAGAACTTTAAAAATTTTAAGCGGCAGTATTGAGGTAATTTTTCATAATACTTTTTTTTCTTCTTGCCTTAAAGTTCCCAAGTAAAGAAAAATGTATATGCCCTTTTCAGTGTTACATGGTTCAGCAGCAGTTATCCTACAGCACTGTGTTCAATTTATAAAAGGAAATTGTGTACTGACCGTTATTGTACTTTTATCTTGTGTTTTTGGAGAGTATATTTTTTGTACCAGAGATTGAACTCAGGACCCTGTGCTTGCCAGGCAGGCACTTATTCTACTGAGCTATCTCCCTGGCCCTGAAGAGTATGTTTTTGAGAACTATGGCTTGTGACTGAAAAGCGGCGTGTGCCTTAATGTAAATCATGGTGTTGGTGTTCCGTTAGATTTATTTTTCATACTTAATATGGTAGGCCTTTCCCCAACAATGATAGTACATGTTTAGAAAATGATAGATTATTAATTCCAACAACTATATCAGATTCATTTATCAGATTCATTTTCCTACGCTTTTTTTTTTTTAATTTTCCCCCAGTACAGGAAATTGAGTTTAGGGCCCAGCACTTGCCAGCCTGGTACTTACGCCATTGAGCTACAATATACCCCTGACTATTTTCTACCTTTTTAAAACTAAAACTTTATGAAGTACGTTTACATTGCAGTTAATTTTTCTAAATAAAGATGGGTTTGGTAGTGCAGGCCTGTAATCCCAGCACTTAGAGCTTTAGACAGGAGGATCATTTTGAGTTCCAGGCCAGTATGGCTATAGTGAGTTCAAGGCCAGCTTGAATTACGTAGAGACACTGTCTCAAGAAAAATATAATTATTTTACCAGAATGGGCTGGGTGGACTAGACATTAGAATATTTAGGGTATGAGTGATTTAGATGGTTGTGTTTAGAATCTGGATAGGTTTTTTTTTTTTTTTTTTCATATAATTTCTTAACTTGCTTAGCCTATGTGAAAATAATGGATCAATTACAGATGTCTGTTTTTTTTATGCTGCACATGTGCATTTTCTCCCTTTATTTTTTCATCTCCCTTTCCTTCCTTAGCTCTCCTAATTCCTCCTCATCTTTCTTTTATGAATCATTCATTTAATAGCCCCTTCTATGTATCAGGCAGTGTGGAATGAAGATGAATAAGTTCTCTTGACTTGCTGTCCGAGAACTTCCAATTAAATAGAAGATAGACAAAGATAAAAATAAAAGCCACAGTATATTGCATTGTAAGAGTATTGTGGAAAGTGTTGTAGGAAGACTGAAGAAGATATCTAAATGTCACAGAGTCACAGACAGTTTTCTGCTAGGAAATGTTACAAATATCAGT